CATAGAGACAGAAAGCGAGAAATCACCCCCCAGGGGGGATGGTCACGCCGCAATCCCTTCTCCTCCATTCTCCTCTCGGGATCTTGGGCACACACGCACACGCGCCCGGCGTGAGTTTTTTTTAAGCCACCGGGTCCGGGACACGAACCGCAGTTGACTACGTGGGAGTCCAGCGACATAGCCATTACGCTAACTGCTGGTTCCCCACCTGGTCAATCTTGAGACTTGGTCTGAACAAAAAAAGGAGGCAAAATCATCAGGAAGTTGATGGCGTTGGTGACGTCGATGGTGCGAGGGACTGGATGAGTGTAAAGCTCAAGTTTAAGGGGCCAGTCAGTGGCATGAAGGTTACGGTGGCTAGATCTCACATGGCCAACCTCACGGTGCAGTCCCAGACCTAGTGGCTCGAAAAACATGCTGCGCACATGTGTGTGCATGCCCAAAATCCTGAGGGGAGAATAGAGGAGAAAGAATTGTGGTGTGGTCATCCCCCTAGTGGAGCGATTTCTTTCTCTCTTTCTCCTCTCTGTGTCTCTAGTGAATACACACACTCTATAGTTAAAAAAAAAAAAAAAGGAAAAAAAATCAAGTTTAGGGTGAGTGAATAAGAACTTGAGGACAGTTCTTTTTTTCTTTTTTTTTCTTTTTTTTGAGAGGTTTATGTTATAGGGCATGTGCGCTCGCCAGACAGACAGAAAGTGAGAAATAACCCCCCAGGGGGATAGCCATGCCGCAATCCCTTCTCCTCCATTCTCTTCTGGGGATCTTGGGCACGCACACACACGTGCCCGGTATGAATTTAAGGAACTGGGTCCAGGATTTGAACCATGGTCAACTACATGGGAGTCCAGTGACATAGCCATTACACCAATTGCTGGTCCCTTGAGGGCAGTTCTTGAAAGGGTTTCCTCATTGGAGTCAGCAGGTGGCATAGTGGGTAATTTGCTTGACTCCCACATGGCTCAATTCCTGGACCTGGTCCTTTGAAAAATCATGCTGGGTGGAACCAGCAGATGGCATAATGGTTACATCGCTGGACTCCCATGTAGCCAGCCATGGTTCGAGTCCCAGACTCAGTAGCATAAAACTCTTGCCGGGTGCACACGTGTGTGTACCTAAAATCCTGAGAGGAGAATGGAGGAGAAAAGATTGTGGTGTGGCCATCCCCCTGGGGGGTGATTTCTCACTCTCTGTCTCTCTGTCTGTCTCTGTCTGTCTGGTGAGCACACACATCCTATAGCAAAAATCTTTCTGAACAAACAAACAAAAAACAACAACAACAAAATAGCACACTGGGCATTTGTACATGCATGCCCAAAATCTCAAGAGGAGAGTTGAGGAGGAGAAAGAATTGTGGCATGGCCGTCCTCCCTGGGTGTGATTTCTCACTTTTCCTCTCTCTGTCTCTTTCTGTCTATCCCCACAGACACACATGTCCTATGCCAAACACTCACACACACACACACACACACACACACAAAGAAAATAAAAAGATCTTGTTAACAAAAAGGCAAGGGAGTATTTGCAACAGTTATGATTTGGGCATCCAGAGAAGAGCACTGGCTGAACACATCACATATATTTATTGAAAACCTATTCTGTAAGAGACTAGCAGATAGCATAATGGTTACATTGCTGGACTCCCACACGGTTGACTGCAGTTCAAGTCCCAGATCCGGTGGCTTAAAAACTCACACAGGGCCTGTGTATGTGGGTGTGTCCAAGATCCTGAGGGGAAAATGGAAGAGAAGGGGTTGTGGCATGGCCATCCCTCCTGGGTGGGGATGATTTCTTGCTTTCTGTCTCTCCAGCAAGTGCATGTGCCCTATAGCAAAAATCTCTCTCTCAA